AAAAAAAAAAAAAAAAAAAGTATACATTTGTTTTGTCCTGAAACAATTTGAAGCATGTGCAAATTTATCCAAATTTATTCAGATAAAAAGCATTTAAATGAGTTAATAGATTCATGAAATTAGTCTGGTTTCCTGAGCCACTGAATGAGGAGCAAAATGCAAGAGTAGCTTTCTCTCTGAAGAAAGCCTATGATTGACTGTGGCTGGGGCCATGTGCCCTGAGATCCTAAGCCAGAAGAAACCACCACGAGGTAAAGACAATTTTATGTGACTCCCACCTCTGCCATTTGAACAACAAATCACTGAAGAGGCCAATGCATAATAACTTCACCTTCAAATACAATATTAAAAACAAACAATTATCAGCATAATTGTAAGAGAATTCCAATATTTGGGGGGGATACTGTCTCCTTAATCATCCAGATTGTTTCTTTAACTTGGCCATATTAACTGAACAATTATTTAACTTTTCAATTTAATATCACTGCATAGAGAAAGCCTATCTGACCTGCATACAAGAACATTTACCTCAGGGGAGGTCACTGCATCTTGGCAGTGACAAGTCACAATCATTTTGATGTAAAAATTGCTGATTATTAACAAATGATGTCAGTTTCACAATAACAAGGCAGACTAGCTCCAAACCATGAGAAAAAGAGATAAAAATCTAGGAAGATATGCAATTCAATAGACACTGGAAGTATCTCACACACTGGAATATGCTTTCTTTTTTCATTAACTCTATTGAAAATCAATAATTACATAGCATATTAAAAAATGTAGAAAAAATTGAAGTGTGAAAGATATAAGATGTAGATAGAGTGAATTTTAGAGAAATATTTCTGAAATGAATACATAGCATGAGATTAATAATAAATTGCACATTGTAAATTATTTAGAAACTTAAATGAATATAACAATAAAAATTGTCCCAAATAAAAATGAAGAAATAATTTACAGATCAGTCATATAATAGTTCACTCTGTGCCAAAATCAAGAAACTTATATTCATATAGCTAGAATTCTAAAAGTAGAAAGGGGTAGGCAATAAATATTTTTTAAATTATTATTTTTATTTTGTTGAGAAACAAATATTAATGAGACAGTTTCAAAGCTGATTAATAGGACATTTTCAATAATTAATACATTGTACATTGTTATCTTCTTAGTGGTTATCCATAGTACAAGAAGCAGACAGGATATCCTGTCCAAACACTATTACTACAAATCTTTCTTCTCACTCAATTAAGCGAAAGTAGCTGTATATCTATCCTAGCTATTCTGTATATACAATACAAAATGGTCCATCTTTGTATCCTCTTTTTGTTTAGTCCTGTCAGAGATGGAAATTCTATTGGCATCTAAATACTATAGGTGCTTGAATTCAGCAAAAAAATCCAACACAGTCCCGCAGTCCACAATAGTAGTGGGTTATCCACAGAGGTTGTTGACTAGAGCCTTTTACAACTCAGCATATTAGTATGGCTTTACTTTATATACCTCGTTTTTATACTTTTCTGCTGGATAGTTAAGACCAAGACAAAACAAGACCTATATAACAAGACAGACTGAATAGGACATTTTCAATAGTTAATAGGACATTTTCAATAATGTAACTTTTGTATCTGATAAGGTCAGTCAAGTCCCCTCAGGATTTATCCTGTAACCCTGTACAGCACTTTGTAGATCCTTTGTGAGTGTCAGCCATGTGGATGAGTCACGGCCATTGCTTAACCAATTTAATCTCTGTGAAAGCCTGAGAGAATATTTTCTCTCCATGTGACTCTCCTTAGGCACACTATATATCATCAATCACATGCCTCTGTGGCTCCATAATCTCCATGATCAGAAAATTTGGGGCACGACTGAGTTACATGATGTTACGGTACAAATTCTCCTATGTCCTCAGTCTTCACTGACCTTGAAAAGCTAGGGCCAAAATGTTGGCTGACCTTGTAGCCCTTCCTTTTCTTCAATTTTTGATCTGCAAACTTAGGTTGTTAACTCTCCAGAAGAGAAGCTTATTATTACCCTGCAACATATGCAGTTCAGTTTACCCTATCTAAATATCAAACACCTTAGGCATAACGTGGAACAGGTATTTTCCATCAAGTATTGATATGTTGAACTTTAAGTCCTTACAGAAAATGAAGAAAAAAAAATTTTTAAATAGCAATAAACACATTTTTACACAGAAATTTAGAAATCTAACCATATACAGCATTGTAGCAGGACAGTTTTGTGACATTTTTTTTCTTTTTCTTATGTCTTTTTTTTTTCATTTATTACCCATTTTAAAAAAAAAAAACAACTTTTACTTGTGAGACAGTATGGTAATAATTGGTATGTCATGACAAGAAGTATGTATTTAGGAGACGAGAATGACAGACATTCCTAGCATGACCCTTCTATTATGTATTGCTATCTTCGGTGTAGTTGCTTGGTTCACAGGTATCAGGGTATATAGTTAGTCAAGTTGAGAATCTTACCAATTAACTGCTAGTTTCAAAAACCTGCTGATGTTTCTCAGGGTCATTGCCTTGCCCATCTTGTGCATACAAATGTATGGCTTTGTCCCTGTCCTGTTTCTCAACTTTTCTCTTTACCCTCTCCTCAATGTCCAATCCTCAAATTCTTGCTTTCATTTTAGTTGTATTATACCTTTCTATTTCTATTTCTTCTTTTGATATCTTATACTAAGGAGACTATATGATATTTACACATGTGGGTCTGGTTTATTTCACTTATGAGTATATATCTTCAAGTGGCATCCACTTAAATATAAATGATACAAGTTTATCATTCTTTATAGCTGAGTAATACTCCATTGTATAAAAATACCACATCTTTTTCAACCATTTCTCATGTGACAGGCATCTGGGTTGTTTCCAAGATTTGGCTATCACAGATTGTGGTGCTATAAACATAGGTACACATATATCACTATGATATGACATTTTCAGTTCCTCCAGGAAAATTCCTGGCTTAGGGGGATAGCTGGCTTGAATGGGATTTCCAGTCGTAGTTTCTTAAGGAGTCTCCAAACTGATTTCCATAACGGTTGCACCAGTCTACGTTTCCACCAGCAGTGGAGAAGGGTTCTCTTTTCCCCACAACTTCTCCAACATTTGTTGTTGGTTGATTTGTTTATGATAGCCATTTTTTGTGGGGTAAGATGGTATCTCAGTGTTATTTTAATTTGCATTTTGTGATGACTAGTGATATGGAGCATTTTTTCATATATTTATTCGCTTCTTTAATTTCATCCTCTGAGAAGTGTGTGTTCATCTTGGATGCCCATTTCTGGATTGGGTCTTTAAATTTTGGGGCCCTAGTGTTTTCTAGTTCTTTATAAATTCTAGAGAACAGACCTTTGTCTGAGTGCTTATTAGTTAAGATTTTTTCCAAATTTGTGGGTTGTCTTTTCACTTTGTTGGTAATTTCTCTTGATGCGCAAAAATTTCTCAACAAGAGTTGGTCCCAGTTGTTAATTCCTTCAAGTGTTACCCATGCAAATTGATTTTTGTTCATGAACCCTTTGCCTACCCCTATGTCTTCAAGAGTTCCACCTACTTTCTCTTCCAGGAGGTTTAGTATTTCTTTTTTAATGTTTAGATCTTTAATCCATTTTGATGCTAGCTTAGGGCATGGTGAGAGGCCTGAGTCAAGTTTTAGTTTTCGGCATGTAGAGAGCCAGTTCTTCCAGCACCATTTGTTAAAGATA